AAAGGAATAAGAAAGGGGGAGGAAAAATATGTTTCCCAAAAAAAAGTAATAAATTACCACCAAAAAGAAAATCCTCCTTTTGTTCCTTTCCACATTTTGGTATAAGGAAGGACGCCCTTGCAGCATGTTTTTTTTATAATTCGGTGTATTTTGGGAGGGCATATTTTGCAAGAGAGTAGATGACACTCAGGAGGATAAAGCAACAAGTTTACCACCAAATTCCCCTCCCTGCTCTCGGAGCTCCCCGTCGTTATCACTGTTCAGAACCATCTCCATTGCTCCAATTTTCCCACGTAGAAGAAAAGAAAAAAAAAACGCAAAACGGCGTGAAAGTTTCTAAAAATCTGCAGAGAACTTTTGGAAAATGTACAAAAAAAATGGTATTTTTTTCTCAATTTGTATCGATGAGTTTTATCATCCAGAGGATTGGATCTATGTGTTCCGGTTATTGTCTTGGAGAGAGCACGTAGATGCACACGAGCAAGAGTGTTTAGAGCTCATATTTGTTCATATTGCCTGCGGAAATGAGATTAAAAAAATAAAAATAAAAAATACGACAAAAAAAGACAAAAAGTTGGAGGAAAAAAAAAGCAGCATTTGATTCAACATCTGATTTTTTGCTTGAAATTCCCAAAAACAAGACATAAAAAAAATCACAAAAAAACAAAACAAAAAAAACAAATTGCGTTGCTAACTTTAAAAGCTTTTTTTCCGACTTTGTTTGAAAAAAAAAAACGTTAGATGCGGAGTGTGGCGGATGCATGAATATTATAAATGGCAAAAAATGTTAAATATTAATATATAAATATATACACAATGAATTTAAAAGATAATGATAGATGAAAACTGGAATCTCTACCCCAAGTGGCGAGCTGAGAATAATTTTTGTTTGTCAGAGAAAAATGGGAGACATGGTTAAATGTGGTCTAAAGCTTGTTCTTTGGTTAGATAGCTCTACAGTGTAGACGATATTTAATGAGACGCAGCCCCATTGAAGGGTACTGGGCCCATGTGGTCCTTATCATGGGTCTTGCATTACCTTTACTTACCAGTCTCAGAAACACCTTTTGTGTAGCTAGGAAGGAAAAGTCACACCCAAATGTACTGTTTAGATTTGGGTGGAGTGTGAGTGAGAATGGTAAACGCTTTTGAAACCCTAATGTGAAAATTCAACTCTGTGAAGTTATTTTTCTTTATTGATTGACCTTGCTGCGGTTTCTACCCCCCTTCCTTTTGTCACAAGCAGGCTTTAGTTCCTGAGCAACCAATCCGGTTTTATCTTTCAGTTGAAAGGAGTAGGATTAGTTGCTATCGGACAATATTGCTTAATTTTGCCAAAATCGGCCCTGCAGACTGGGCAAAGTGTTCTTCCGTTTGGAAACTAGAACAGTGTGCCTTGGATTTAAAAAGATTAAGAATTTAGAGCACTGAAATCTGCCAAAATTAGTTTTATTTTTAATATAAAAAAAAAATAATCTGATGGCTTTTGTGTACAAAAGGTCTGCTGTAGTTGACACTGGCGTTGTAGTTGATACTGGCGTTGTCCTTTCTATATGAATTGCACTGCAAATATTTCTCCCATAATGTGACGGTTTTATTCTACTTTAAACATGTCTCCCATGTTGTATTAAAGACCCCAGCATGGATTTAACAAACTTTCAAAATAAGTGTTTTCCTTTTATGTTTCTGCTCTTCTGTCTTGATTTGTTCATGTTTTTTTATGTGTATCTGTGTTATATTTGTGGAGATGGCTCAGATCTCCTCACCTCCCTTGGGGTGCAGCAAGTCAGATGGGCTTTCTTGCAAACCACTACAGGAGGAGACTTGGATGAACGGGAGTAGAGATCTCCGTACTCTGACCTGTACTGAGCTAAGCCGTGCGGTTCAGCTCAGCATGCGAGAAAGTGTGCTAGATTTTTAAATTAAAATTAAAAAAAAACAGGTTTGCAAAAAACCCCATTTGTCTTTGACCTTGAAGAAAGTTATATTTACTATTGCATTTGCTTATTTTGTAGCTGTTATCTGGTCGGTTGGTTATCCATACTGGTCTTCAGGTCTATTGTCACAAATTAAAGTGACACTAAACTCAGGAGTTCAATATTAAAAATACATTCAACTATTAACGAAAATGTATCTTATTTGTGTGTCATTCGGCTGTAGATCCTCAAATCATCTCTGACACTGTCCTTCCTTCTGGAGGGTGACTACTTATGTTCCCAATGGTGCCTGTGCGTGTTATAAAGTAGTCACCGCTCCAAGCTCACTCCCGTGACAGACTACAATCCCAATACAAATTATTAAATTAAATGTGAGACTATGGGGGACCATGGGGAACAAAAGTAGCCACCCTCCAGAAGGAAGGACAGTGTCAGCACCAATTCAGAGATGATTTGAGGATCTACAGCCGAGTGATACACAAATAAGATACTTTTTTGATAATAGTTAAGGTTCTTGAATGTTATTTTTAAGATTTAACTCCTGAGTTTAGTGTCACCTTAACTGGTCACTTTATCGTGTTTTTTAAAGCAGAACGACTGATGTTTAGTGGATTGTTTTAAAAATGTCCCCTCTGTCAGGAAAAGCTTTCTATAGTAAGCCGACCACGCCGAAGGCATTTTTCAGGGAACTACTTTACTGATCATGTTTACAGCAGCCTGTAGATGTAAGAGCTCGGTCAGACGCTAGGGAACGATCTGACTGCTCAAAGAACTTTCTTACCCCAAATCTTAAATACATTGTCTGAATGCCTCTTTAATATTTATTTTATCAATTTATATAGCACCAACATATTCCTGCAGAGCTTTGCTCGATCAGTCATAGTCCCCATAGGAGCCTAATGCTGGCTATACACCGGTAGGCATTCATATAAAAAATCTCATCAGAACATTTGATAATGCTATCACAGACTTGATGAATGTTGTTCGAAATTTAGTTTCATTTTAACCATCCCAAAGAAAAACCACATTCACTGTTAGAATTTTATTAGTTCCAGAAAAACTTTCCATCCCCTTCCTTCGATTTTATTTATCCCTAGAGTCAAAAATAATCTTCGATTTGACCCCATTCACTATCAGAAAATTGAATGAACATTGTGAAAACTAATTTTCCTACAGTCATACAGGTGCATACAATTTGGGGTAGAAACCATTTAAACTTCAGTGTATTTTTAAATTGTGGGAGGAAACTGGAGCACCGAGAGAAGCCCCAAACAAGCAGAGGAGAAAATACAAACTCTATGCAGACCAGTGTCCAAAGTGGAAGTAAAACCCAGAAGACCCGGCACTGCAAGTCAAGAATGGCCACAGTGCTGCCCATAAAGATTTATGAATAAGATAAATAAATATGTTTTATTGCTTCCTAGAGCTGGTAATAATTTGCTATAAGTTGTGACTTTGACCTGTAGGCCACTAGTTTTTGGTTTATTAACAGACTGGTATATGCTACTAAATAAGCATCACTTATAGAAAACCTGTACTGAGAGAAATATTGGAGGGCTGCCATTACTGACCTCCTATTAGGAATAGGAGATTCCTGACTGTCTCTGGCTTTTGCCATTTTTGAGTTACTGACTTGGAACAAGCATACAGATGGGAAAGTCAGACTGAAGTCAAAACTCTTTATCTGTGTACTTATACCAGATTAGTGACTCCAGAAGTACTAAAGCCAGTAGATTGGCATGACAGACTGGCAACTTACATTTCCAGAAGGTGAAGTTAACATTGCAACCTCTATATTCTCTCAGTGCAGGTTTAATTTAAGGTTAATGAAGGTTAGGCTCATGTATGAAACTGTCTAAAAGAATTCTGTATATAGTCTAAAGCAACCAATTAGATTCAACCTTTCATGCAAGAACTGGGCTGGTTGGTATGTGGACCTTTATATGTTCATACATTGAAATCTAATGCTTCTCTAGTACAGTGCAACTGAAACTATTATTATAATACCGTTCATTTTAAATCACAAATTGATGGTACTGCCAAACACTTTATAAATGTGGTGATGCAGCTGTGCAATGACAGTTCTCATGGTATCCTATTACTGCGCATTTAAGGCACAGAGGGACCGTGAAATGCCTTTCAGCACTGCTCTTCCTTGGAGGTTCTTGGTCCAGAATCCAACAGAAGGTCACTGATTGAGAACAATCCAAATTACTGTGGAAAATGGATCACAGAATGAGACAGACTGAGCCAGCAACCTCTGCTTTAGCATGCATATCTGGCGTGTTTTGCTGCTCTAAATTGCAGGGTTGTAAACATGTTATGCACTACGTGGTGCCCTTTTTTTTGCACTAAGATAATTGTTTTGTTACCATGAAAGTGTTTTTAAAAAAAAAATAAGAAAAGTTACTCAGGTTGTAGAAAATGTGTGCTGACCTGCAGCTTGGACACCTGCTACGCACAGTGTACCCAGAAAATAATGACGAGGGTACAGACCAAGGCAGAAAAGTATTGTATGCAGATGCATTGCTGCACTATTTTTGTCTATTATGGGTGTTTTATAAATACGAAGTATGAAATAAAGTAAAAGGTTTCAATTTAATGTTTGCATTATGCTGTAAGCTAGAAATCAAATGAAGGACCGTTTCATACATGTTCCCTGTTATAAGAGATGGCATGGTGGTACTGTAGCTCCCTTGGTATCAAGAACATTGTGACTGCTTTATGATGAAAATGGTGTTGACCACTATACAGTATTGATAACGCTCCAGCAGTTAATATGGTGCTGTAAAATTTCTAAAGATGTTTACAAGCATTGAAAGAATGAGGGTCTTTCTCGATAGACTTAAGAAGATCTCCAGCTAAACTCTTTCCACTGTCAACAGTACAAATGGATCCACTGTGTTTTCTCCATTCACAATAGCAGGACAGCTGACAAGTTCTAATGCTGATTGTAAACACTGTATGAAATAGAACTTCTTAATTCCCTGACTAGGACAGAGGAGCTGTATTTGCAGATGATGTCCC